TTTTTACTATTAAATTAAGATAATTAGATAATATGCACCTGAAATAAGACAATGCAATTGTGTTTTCTCATTTTAAGTGCAAATTTTCTTGTTCCATTGGCAAAGTGTCTCTTTTACCTCCTCAATCAGAGAACAAATCCACATATTTTAAGGAAAAATTATCTAGATTTCTATTTTTTCCAGTGCATAACGCAAACGGAACCAGCAGACTGCTGCAGCGATGGTGTTTTATATTTTGACCCTCATATTTTTGTTTTTCGCCTGTTTCACTGTTTTTATTTAGTATTTAATAATCCAAGAGGCAAACATGACTAGTTTTGATGTTTCTTATTAAATATACAATTAACTTAAAGGTATCTGAGGATTTTTTTAAAGACCTCTCCACTTAAAAAAAAAATGCTCGTGCAAGAGCATGCACGAGCCCGTTCTCCTTGTGCACGCCCTGTTTAAAATGTGCTGTTCTCATAGCTCATACGAGCTTAATGTGTCCACATACAGCGGGGAATATATAGTGGACTTTATAGCAAACTCTGTTAACTGACCGTTTGGACAGATGGTCACTGCTTTTTACTCCCAGTTGGTCATGTAACTCCTCCTCCACCGCGCGGTGCCCGCCGCTGTCGGACTGCGACAGCCTATGGAGACAGTGGGCCGCTGTGACAGCAAATCCCATAGTGTTTTGAGAGGAGAGTTCTCCCCGCAAAGCATTCTGGGATATATCTGCCTCTTCTGAGGCCTTTCTTTCTTCTCATACACTCTGTAGACACTTTTTCTCTTACGACCCTCTGGGATTTTCAAAGAACCGCAGTGAGAAAGGTGAGCTTCAATGACTGTCTGAAACCGTAGTTCACCACAGATATACGCCTGAAAGTGCGCATGTGCAGAAAAAGATAGCTAATGGGGCGAGCACATAGGACGGCCTTATGTAAACATATCACCAGGATGATTGACAGTTAGGAGGACCACTTATTTAGGTGAGCCACCTGGAATTTAATGATCGTCCTCTGTACCTTTAATACTAACATTATATGAGCCAGTAAGCAGGATAACTTTTATATTTCTGCAAAACAGTTTGATCCTTTCAGTGTGCAGTGCG